AAGAAGAAGAAGAAGAAGAAGAAGAAGAAGAAGAAGAAGAAGAAGAAGAAGAATCATTATCATCATTATATTCACACAGCGTATTCAGCAATCCAGTGTTTATGGAATTGTCCCACAGCACCTCAACAAAAGGGTTAATCCCTCCACCCCTGTGGCTATTTCAATCATGTTGTAGACACATACAACACATTTTGGGCTCAATTGCTTTTCAGATTCTTTCCCACCATCTGCATGACTGAGCAGAGGTCGAGAACCAAAGGGTTTTACTTGCAAAACCAACTTGGGAAGGAAACTTGCAACTAAAATAATTTTGCTAGCTGGCTGTAAAGGCAGAGTTGAAAGCAAAATTGATGACTTAACAACTTCCCAAAGATTTTGATGCCATCTACATAATAATAATATGGCTAAACTATTTGTTGTATGTGTTTTACGGCGGTCACAACTGCATACGGTAATGTCATATGAGCGCGCAGGATACTTTATACGTTTACAGTTTAGCAGGAATCAATTTTGAATTTTGCCCTCGAGGCAGCTGAAGCCTACTCTTATCGATTTTAGGACCACAAACGTGTGCACCTTGTACACTGGATCTCCGAGATTTTTCGCCGTTATACGACCCTAAGATCAAAGGTGGGGCTGAAAGAAGCCAAGGAATAGCAGTGGAACGGTTGCAGAAAGAGCCAGGAGCCCAGAGGGGGGGGGGTAAAGGGAGTGGAAATGAGGTGGAAAGTGGGGACGGAAGTAGACGACAGAACATGGTTAGAGAGCACGTACGCTGTATTGAAGTAAGAGTAAAGTTATTCCCGCTTACGAACCGGACATTGGGCCGGGGATTGCCTGGTCAGTGAGACAACTTCCTGGGCCTTCAGCAGAGTGTTGTAGGGTGGCCAGTTCCTTTCCACGCCGCCTTTACTTCCCAAACTCAAAGTCAGGTACACATTACTGCTGGGTGGGCAGGAGGGGGCGAAAAAAATCCGTGTCCGAACCGAGGTTCGAACCAAGACTTTCCGCTTCGGAGACGAGCGCACTAACCGCTCCACCACCGCACCTGTATTGAAGTAAAACTTCTTAATTCGTACAAGGGTTTTCAGGGGTGTTTTCGTGGTCGACAGGTTACAGTGTTCGCCTTTCATTCAGTTGGCCCCGAGTTTGAATCCGGACAGTAACGGAAAATTTTGTTCTCTACAAATTTTCTCCATTCATCTTCTTCCCTGCTCTCTAACAATGTTCTGTCGTCTGCTTTCGTCTCCACTTTCTGCCCCCCCTACCCTCGCCTTCTTTGCCCCCTCCTCTGGGTTCCTGACTCTTTCTGCAGCCTTTCTACTGCTGCTCCTTGGCTCCTTACTGCTGTCTTTCAGCCACACCCCTGATCTTATGGTAGGTAAGATCTAAAACCTAGCCTTCTCGGATAAGGACGAAATATCTCGGAGGTCCCGTGCGCATGGTGCGCACGTTAAAGATCCCTGGTCCAAAGGCGGTAAGAGTAGGCTTCGGCCGCCACCTGAGCCAAAATTCCAAATTAATTACCGTACTACCAAGCGTTAAATGTTTAATGTGTCCTGCGCGCTCATATGACCTTATGCTGTTGCGAGCGACGTAAAACACTTACAAAAAATTAATTAAAATATTAAAAAGGGTTTTCCCATTCTGGCTTTTCTATCTGAAACTTCAGAAAGGAGAGCAATATTGTATCCCTCTTAGCGCGGGCTGGCCGTGATAGACAGTGTGCAAACCTTCCTTGTAAATCAATGACCTAAATCGTGTCGATGAGGGCGGAAAAACACGACATACAGAATTATTTTTTAAAATCTAATGACAAGACGACGAAATGTTGAACATTTATTTTGGTTTCGGATTACCAAAACTGGACTGGTACAGCAACGTTGTTTTTTCTTCGTTTTTCTTTTCTTTTCTTTTTTCTTTTTTTTTTCTTTTCTTTTCAGCCTTCAGAGTCTGTCGAGCTTGACTGAGCGAGCACACGATTGAAATCAAAACCTTTCCATAGCGCAGACTTAAGGGACCCAAAGAGTCTCGACTATTTTGACGTGGCGTTCGCTAGTCAATATATTATCATAGCCTATTTTTAAAGACGTATAGCTTAAAATGTATAATACTGTAACTGGCCGATTGCGCAAAGAAATCGAGGTTCAATTAATTAAAAAGAGATAAGGCGGTGTAAATAAACTTTGTCACGACGTGGCGGAATCAGTCGCTCGTCAATTTTTTGGTTTGTGAAGTTATTGGTACTATCTTAAAGCTTGCTCATTTGTCTTTTTAGTGATGAAAAAATACCTATCTATTCTGAATAGTAGTCGAGATATTTGCGATTGAAGGTGATGGGGGTTGCTTGGTTTCAGAGTAAAATTAGCATGAAAATGGCCACCAAAGTTTTTGTGCCTTCCATCGCTTCAGAGTCATAGGAAATTGCAATAAATTTACTTTTTTCTGAGCTTTCAATCAGCGTTTTTTCACAAAACATCCACACAGAAATGTGTTTGTAAATGGATTTTTTTAAGTGTTGGGGGAGGGAGGGCTCTCGTGGCCTAAAGGCTAAGGTGTTGCCCTCTCATTTAAAGGTCCCGGGTTCGAATCCGGGTAACGATCGAAAGATTTTCACTGAAATGGTCTCTTTTCACCTCCTTTCCTATTCTCTAGCAATGTTCTGTCGTCTGTTTTCCTCTCCTCTTTCTACCCCCACCCCCTCACCTCCCTTGCCTTCTCCTCTGGGCTCCAGACTCTTTCTGCAGTTTTTCTACTGCTACTCATTGGCTCCTTCTTACTGCTGTCTGGCAGGAAAGATCTACACCTAGCCTTCTCGGACAAAGGCGAAAGATCTCGGAGGGCCTGTGTGCAAGTTGCGCTCGTTAAAGATCCCTTGGTGGTCTAAAATCGATATATTAACTGAAAAAGTTTAATAGTCCTGCGCGATCATATGACCTTATGCTGTTGCGAGCGCCGTAAAACACTTA